GTGAGAGCACCAGTGTCCTGAGATGCTGCGGAGGTCAGAAGAGGACTTTGGATTCCCCTGGAACTGGAGTTAAGGATGGTTCGTAGCTGCCATGTGGGTGCTGGGAATCAAACCTGGGTTCTCTGCAAGAGCAGTCAGTGCTCTTAACCACTGAGCCATCTCTCCAGCCCCGAAGTGATTTCTAAAGTCACTTCAAATAGAGCTAACAGATACCCCTGTGTTCTTCAACTAGCATTCTAATTAAATTGGTACATATTTTCTCTTCCTAGAACTGGCAGGAATCTGACATGCTTAAGAGATAGACCACCTGGCTAGGCATGGTAGCACAAGCCTTTAATTCCAGCACTAGGATCTCTGTAGGTTCAAGTCTAGCCTGGTCTACAGGGAGACCCTGTCTCAAAAAACAACAACAAAAACAAAACAGAAAAAAACCCCCCACACAAAAAGAAACTTCTATCAAAAACCCATCACGCTTTGAATTTATAACTTTGGTCATCACCCAGGCTAGCATTTTAATGTTGGGTGGCAGCAGCAACAAGCCATAGTTCTGTCACCTATGAAATCCTAAAGACTAGTAATCAATACTCTGCAGTGCATTATGCTGTTCCATGGGTGCATTAACAAGACCATTTTCAACATATACTATTTTCAATTTATGACATTGAAACCTTATGAGTAAAGGGCACTAAGGACTTGTATTTATGACTGTTCACCAGATCCCTATTATCAGCCAGACACTGTCAGATGTGTCCTGTACCTGCTTCGCCTTCTTTCTCTACTTCGTGATCTTTTATGGTCCCGAGACCTGCTGCATCTTCGGTCAGAAGTTCGGCTTGAATGTCTACTTCGGGAACGACTTCTCTTTCTTCTTTCTCTATCACGAGCTCTTTCTTTCTCTCTTTCTTCCTCTTCTCTTCGTCTTTTCCTTTCCCGTTCTTCCCTCTCTCTCTCCCGCTCTTTTTCTCTTTCTTCTCTTTCTTGCTTCTCTTTTTTTAGACGCTCATCCCGATCAGGCTCCTCTGTCCTTTTCCTTAACTTTTCCTAAGGAAATCAAGTTGGATTTTTATATGTTGTAGTGCTGGAGACAGCAAGAAGGCCTCACGCATACTAGGCAAGTACTCTACCACTGAGCTATACCCCCAATTCCTCAAGATGGATTAAAAAAAAAAAAAAATCTTATGTGTATCAGTGTATTGTCTGCATGTATGTAAGTGTTCCCATGTTGAGAGGGCATTGGATCCCCTGGAACTGGAGTTAAAGATGCTTGTTAACTGCCATGTGCATGCTGGGAATTGAACCCAAGTCCTCTGGAAGAGCAGCCAGTGCTCTTAACCTGAGCCATCTATCTCTCCAGTCCCTCTCAAGATGGATTATTATGCAGCTTTATTATAGACACTGTCAAGAAATGGTTACCTATAGCAATTTATGAAATCTAGTACCCTCAGAAGAAATATAGAAATTTCAGCACCATATGTATTTATACTATCATTTCTGAACCAATTCATTAGCTAGGGTTGTCCCATTTCTGGCACTTTATAAAGTGATGAAAATAAAAAACTTTGATAGTTTGATGAACAACAATATTTCACAGGAATTACCACTGCTCCTTTTTTCTTTTCTTTTCTTTTTACTTTTTGTACTAGGGATCAAAATCAGAGCTCTGGGCATGCTAAACAAGTTGTCACTAAGCTACACCCCCAGTACATCATTGCTTTAAAGAAACATAACCATCAACAAAATGTCATTGAAAGTGTACCATCTTGCCAAGGCGTGGTGGCACATGCCTTTAATCCCAGCACTTGGGAGGCAGAGGCAGGCAGATCTCTGTGAGTTCAAGGCCAGCCTGGTCTACATAGCGAGTTCCAGGACAGCTGGGGCTACAAGGAGACCCTGTCTCAAAAAAGACCAATAAAAAAAAAAAAAGTGTATCATGTGACCAATTTATAGCTATACTAAAATACAGCTTTTAGTGATTGTTATTGCTAAAAGTTTCACGTAACACACATGCTTACAAGAAACTCACTTTTAATTCTTCCACGGTGGCTTTAATTTTGGCATAGCCCATGTGTTGTTTTCCCATCAAATGGTCATCTACCCGGGACTGGGCATCTCCTACTATCAAAAAGGCTCCACAAACTTCACAAACTTCCATCTGTTTTTCTTGAGCAGCAAAACTTTCAATTGTCTGAAATGAAAAGTCAGTTGTTATAAGATTATCTGAGGAAGAGAAAACAAGCAAATTCAAAAAGAATGCTCAACATTAAGAAAAGATTTCTAATACATGTGTGCTGGTGTTGCAGACTTCTCCAGCCATAGCTTTGAATATGGATGGCCTAATCTTTAGAGCAGGAAGTATGGAAAGAACAACCAACTTGCTTATCTTCCAGGAAAAAGTGCTGAGACACTGCTGGCCTGAACTGCAACAGCCACATCACCTTGAAAAATCTAAATGTTCAGAAAGCTATTATAGTCTAAGTTCATTTCTTATATAGGTTCAACAACTCAAAAATTATTAAGGAATTGAACCCATGGTCCATAATATAATATGAACATACATTATTCAATAAGCGAGAACCAAGGAACAATCACATTTTACCAGTGGTACCTAAAGAATATACTATACTCTTCAGAGATATTAAAGGAAAAGATATTTTTAGTTTGCCAATTAAGTAAGATAAATATAAGTACTGGGTAATTTAACAATAATGAAAATAAAATCCAAGCTCAAATGAATATTTATTATTTAAGGCAAGATTTGGCAAAAAAGCAACCAAAGAACTACTTTTATAGTTTTACTGAGAGTGGCTAGCAAGATGGCTCAGCAGGGAAGGGAAGGGTGCTGGGCACCATGCATGATGACCCAGAGCCCAAATGGATAAGAGAACTTTAGTCTGCAAACTGTCCTGACCCCCACATATATGCTGTGGCAGGTGCAAACCCACAATAAATAATTTAAAAATATAGTTTTATTAGAATAGCCATTTGCTTATGGGCTGCTTGTTGTGAGACAGCTTTGTTTATTTCCTTCCATGATTCTTGGCTATAACTCCCTCCCCAAGGCAAGACAGAAACACTAATCTTCCTTCACCTTTGAGTTTTTGATTAGTTCATAAAGAAATTCTCTGACCTACCTTGTCTGATAGATCATAAGACCCCTACTTTAGAAGGGATTTTGCACAATATACAGGGTGAAGAATGCTACAGGGAGGTCACAAAAAATCTGGAAACACTTACTAGGTTTTCCCACTCTGTCTATTGCATAATATCTCACCCTTTTTTTCTAATCACATTTCTACCCAGCTGTCCGTGTTTCTGTAATGGTTATACAATTAAGTCTCCAACAAAACCCAAAACAGGGCTTGGAGAGCTTCCAGATACCTGAACACATGGAGGTTCCCAGGTGGTGAACCTGAAGAGGAGATGGAAGCTCCGCACCCCTTCTCCCATACCTATGCATCTCTTCTTCATCTGCATCCTTTGTAATATCCTTTATAATAAGCTGGTAAACGTGTTTCAGAGATCTGTGAGGTACGGGAGCAAATTAATTGAACCCGAGGTGAGGGTTTGTGAAAGTTCTGAATTTATAACCAGATAGTCAGAAGCACAGGTAAAACAACCCAGGGCACTGGAGTGACATCTGACATACTTGTATATACTTGTGACTGTGTATGCACATGTGAAGGAGATGAAGAGGAAAAGGGAGGTTGAAAGGAGAAGGTAAGAGAAAAGAGAGGAAAGAAGGGAAAGAGAAGGAAAAAAGACAGAACACAAGCTTCAAGACTTGTGGAATCTAAAGCTATCTTCAGGAAGATCGAATGTCTGCATGAGACAAGGGGATTAGGGACACTTGGCTGGTGCCTAGTGCTGTAGAACAAAGCTCTTGCCTGCTGGTAGAAATGAAATCACCAAATATTTTGGGGTCACAAAAATAACGTGCAGGTTACAGAAGTAGCTCAGAGGTAGAGTACTTAACTGGCGAGCACAATACCCTAGGTTTGATCCTCGGCATGTCAAAAAAAGAAATACTGTGAAAATACAGTAGAAAAAGCTAATTTTCAGGGTTTCTTTTTCTTTCTGTATCTTCATGCTGTCTGAACTGCTCTTATGACATATGGTAGAGCTTACTTAATAACCTTCGGACCTGCCAGTCTGAAACATGTGGCCCTTTAAATGTTTGATCAAGACTCTGCATTTAGGACAACGGAATGATTCAAAGGTTCTTAAACAGGAATAGATCCCAAGTAATTCATAATGAACAGGGTGAGAATTTTAAACTGCAGAGACTCACCGAGGTTGTGGATCTTAGTAATTCTCTTTCTTCTTTTAACTGTTCAACTAATTTCATCATTCCCTGGGCTTCTTCTACCTTTCCTTCTGATCCTAATTCTTCAATCTAAGAAAGACAAGAGGAAAAAGTCAATACTCCTTTTCAACAAAGTTAGGTATTTTCTCATGTATTATTTAGCATTTAGGCTAAAATTTGCATGTTATTTACCCTTGTGATTTTTTTTTTTTAAAAAACAGCTTAAACATCATGCACTTTGTCTTCCTTACTTTTTTCTTACTCTTTGGGGGGTGGGGGTGGAGTATTAAGACAGGTGGCCTGGAACTCACTGTAGGCCAGAGATAACACAGAGATTAGCCTGCCTCTGTGCTGAGATTAAAGGTGTGTGCCACTATGCCTGGCTAACATGCCTTTTAAAAGTACATAATTTAAGGGGATGGAGAAATGGCTCAGTGGTTAAGAGCATTGACTGCTCTTGCAGAGTACCTGGGTTCAGTGCCCAGCACCCACATGTCAGTTAACAACAGTACAGAACTCCAGTTCCAGAGGATCTGATGCCCTCTTCTAACCTCTGTGGGCATTGCACAACACAGGTATGCTTACATACATGCAGGCAATACACTCCTATGTATAAAATAAAAATAATAAAATACAATTTAAGTATAAACATCTGCACAGACCCATGAAATTACTACCAACTTAAAACAACGAACATATTTACACCCAAAAGTTTTCTTCCTGTTCTTTTTAGTACCTCGTCCAATCTCAATCCAGTACATATACCTAGACAATAATCTGTCACTACATATTAGAGTACATTTTCCAAAACTTTATATGAATGATATGCAGGTAGATTTTATTCCTCCCAGTTGAGAGATGGTCTTATTTCTTTCACTCAAAAGAGTTAAAGATTTATCCATATTATTGTACAGAGCAAACTCCTTTTTATTACTGAATATTATTTCATTATATGGCTATATTACAATTTAATTTTGGTTTTCTTGAGACAGGGTTTTGCTGTGAAGCTCTGGCTGGCCTGCTACGCACTATGTAGCCAAAACTCCTCTTGAACTCAAGGAATTCCTCCTGCTCAGCCTCTGAGCCCCAAGCTTCTGACCACTATGCCAGTCTTTCCTATTCACTTGTTCATGAACATCTGAATTGGTGCAAGCTTGGGGTTTACTGAGAGGGCATGAGTCCATTATGAATAAAACGGTGAAAAGCAGTGTGCAAGCTGTTGTTTAATAAACACACTTTCACTGGTTAAGTAAAGGAATGACTAATACATTTTGTTTTTCTTTGAGGCAGGGTCTCACTATATAACCCTGGTTGCCCTCACTATGTAGACCAATGGTCTCAAACTCACAGAATCTTGCCTTCCTCTATCTCCAAAGTGCTGATATTAAAGGTATAAACCACCACACCAAGCACACCTTACAGAGACTTAACCTTTTTTTTTTGGGGGGGGGTGTCTTTTTGAAGCAGGGTCTTCCTGTAGCCCAAGCTGGCCTGGAACTCACTATGTAGACCAGGCTCATCTTCTCGTCTTGAACTCACAGAGATCTGCCTGCCTCTGTCTCCCAAGTACTGGGACTACAGGCGTACACCACCATACTTGGCACACATCTTTAACCTTTTAAGGAATAGACTAAAAGCTGGATGCTGTGGCAGAAAGGTTGAGTTCAAGGCCAGCCTGGGTTACACAGTGAAACCCTAAGTCAAAAAAAGGAAAACAAAAAACAAAAGGGAAAGATAAGTAGACTAGCTTAAGCAGAGTACTGGCTTGCATACACAAAGGCCCTAGGTTAATTTTAAGCAACATCCTCCCATCCCCAACACCAAAATATGGGGCAGATTAAACTCTTCTGGAGTACCGGAATCATTTTACATACCCACCAGTAATAGCTGGTGCTTTCAATTAGAACAGATCCTTCACAACACTTGAGTCCTTTACTACAGTCATTCCTTTATAGGTTGGGTCATTCAAATAGATGTTTCAAATCTCATTTTGAGATTTCAATTTGTATTTCCCCTGTAATTAATCAAAAATCTTTTCATGTTTATTTTGTATTTTGTCAATTAAGTATCAGTCCCAGTGCTCTGTTTTTGTTTTTAAAGATTCAGATATTTGAAATACTCCTGGATCCTACCATCTCCTCAGTGCTGAGATTACAATGTATGCCACAGCACCCAGCACCAAGTATTCTCAGACTAATGCACACAACTCTCACCTGCTGTAGAAGCACATCAATTTTGTCCGTCAGAACCTGAATTTTTTCTTCATTTTTGCCTGTTGGACCAGCAGCCTATTAAAGACAATAAAATGTGTTGTCACCAAAAACTAAAATAAACTTTCAAACTCTTGGGTCTAGGAATTGAGCTAGTGTTAGCATGCACAAGGCTCTCGGGGCTTGACCCCCAGCACCACCCCACAAAGTTATATAGAGTACTGATTTCTTGTCTTTAGGATTTCACAGGTAAAAGAACTATAGCTTACTGCTGCTGCCACCCAGCATTAAAATGCTAGCCGCTATGTGGGTGCTGAGATTTGAACTTGGGTCTTCTGCAAGAACAGCCAGTGCTTGCTCTTAACCTCTAAGCCATGGCTCCAGCCCCATAAGGTCTTTCTCTGTAGCCCAATCGCCTTGAACAAGATCCTCCTTCTTCAACTTCCCAAATGCTAAGCTGAGAGGTATATGCTACCATACCCAGTAATATTTCTATTTAGTAATGAGAGGGAATGGGCGAGCATGGTGACAGATGCCTATAATTACTCTTGGGAAATAGGGGCAGGAAGATTAGGAATTGGAGTTAATCCTCAGTTACTTATAAAGTTTAAGGCCATGAATTAAACAACAAAAGGCTGGAGAGGTGGTTCAGCTGTGAAGAGCATGTACATACTATTTAGCAGAAAACCTAAGTTTGGTTCCCAGTACCTATGCCCAGGAATCACAACTGCCTGTAACTCCAACACTACAGATCTGACACCCCTTCCTGCCTCCACAGGTACTGCACTCACAATGAAAGCAGAAAACCTAAGTTTGGTTCCCAGTACCTATGCCCAGGAATCACAACTACCTGTAACTCCAACACTACAGATCTGACACCCTTTCCTGCCTCCACAGGTACTGCACTCACAATGACCATACCCACAAACACACATAATTTTTTTAAAAAATAAAGTGCTGCAGGGCACAGTGCTGCACTCCTTTAGTCCCAGCACTCAGGAGGCAGAGGCAAGATCTCCTGTGAATCTCCTACCACAAAACAAACAAAGCTGGGCATGGCGACACATGCCTTTAATCCCAGCACTTGGGAGGCAGAGGGAGGTGGATCTTTGTGGGATTGAGGCTCAGCCTGTTCTACATAGTGCATTCCAGGCCAGCTGGATGCAGGGAGACCCTGTCTAAAAAAAGACAAATAAATAAATAAATACAACTCCCACACAAAAAGTGTTTAGCCACAAGGTACTAATCCAAATATCTTCTATTTCTGTTAGTCAATTATATACTTTGTCAGTTACTGATAAAGAGAAATGGTGGTAGGCGGGCATGGTGGCATATGCCTTTAGTCCCAGCACTCAGGAGACAGAGGCCTCCGTGGGCATCACACAATACAGGTGCTCTTACATATATGCATACAATATACTCATAGACATAAAAATAAAAAAAATGTCTGGTGTGGTGGCACACACCTTTAATCCCAGCACTTGGGAGACAAAGACAGGCAGGTATCTGTGAGTTTAAGGCCAGCGTGGTCTACAGGCCCAGCTGGGGCTACAGGGAGACCCTGGCTCAAAAAGACCACAAATATACCCTGGCTCAGTGGTTTAGAAAGCTGGTTGTTCTTACAGTGGACCTGAATTCGGTTCTCAGAACTCACATGATAGCTAACAAACAGTCCTTAACTCTAGTTCCAGGGGATCCAAAACCCTCTTCTGAGCCCCACAGGTATTGCATGCACGTAGTGCATTTACATACATGCAGGTGAAACATTAATACACATAAAATAGAAAAAAGAATTAGATGCCTAGATCTGCAGAGAAAAAAAATGCCCTTTATGAAGTTCATTTTATACTTACCCCAGAGGACTGCTGGTTTTGAGATAATGCCAAACGAGCATGACCTCGTCTAATTCTACGTTCTACCTCTGCAAGTAAACTCTGTAAGTATCGCAAAAAATCTCTCTCATAGCCAACTTTCATAAACCGGGAACTCTTCTCATACCTGGTAAAATAAAAATAAACTTTTATCCATTACAAGTCATAGATTCTATATAACTCATTTCAAGGACTATTGCATTTAAGTTGAAAAGTAAACCATTACATGGAGTAAATTTCTGGCTATCCCTTATCTTGTCAAAGGGAAGGCACTGTATACTGCATTACCTTTGGTTAACAAGATAGCTTTTTATTTTTTTGATTTGGTGATACTATGGATCAAGTTCAGGGCCTCATACATATACATATTAGGCAAGTGTCCTATCACTAAGCTACAATTCTTAATCCTTAATTTATTGAGATAGGGCCATTAATTTGCCCAGCTTGGCCTTGAGCTTGAGATCTTCCTGCCTCAGTTTCCAATGTAGCCGGTATTACAAACCTGCACCACCAGGCCCAGGTAAGAACATAGACCTAAAATTTATTTATTTTTATTTTATGTGTATGAGTGCTTTCCTTGCATATATGCGATTGCAACTGTACCTGTAATGCCCATGGAGGACGGAAGAGGGCATCAGATCCCCTAGAACCGGGAGTTATGGATGGTTGTTAGTTGCCATGTAGGTGTTGGGAACCAAAATCCTCTACAATAGCACCCAGTGCTCTTAACCCCTGAACCATCTCTCCAGTCCCAGAACACAGGTCTTTAAAACAGGTTTGATTACCAGCTCTACAACTATACTAGATCTCTGTAACCTTGAACCCAGGACAAGTTTCATCTATAAAACTGGGGCTGAGGGCTGTCAAGATAGTTCGTGAGTAAAGGCTCCTGCTGCCAACCCTGACAACCTGAGTTCAATTCTTGGGACCCACACAATAGAAGGTGAGAACTAACTACTACAAGTTGTCCTCTGACTTCCACGTGAGACAGGATCTCCCTGTAGCCCCAGCTGGCCTAGATCTCGGTATGTAGACCAAGTTGACCTCCCAGAGATCTACCTCCCAGAGTGCTGGGATTAATGATGGACTCCACCATGTCCATTCTGAGTAAGAGACTCTGAAGGTAAAAGGTGAAGATCAATACCTGAGGATTGTTTTCTGACCAGCACAAACACATCCACATTCATACACACCAAGATTACCCCCAAAAATTAAAAAAATAAACTTAAGAAGAGCAAATATGGGGCTGGAGCTATAATTCATCAGTTCAGTCCTTTCCTAGTAGGCTCAAGGTCCTAGATTCTGCCAGGCCTACAGCCCCAGGTACTTGGGGATTTGAACAAAAGAATTACCAAGCTGAAGGCCTGCAGCAGCCTTTAGTTAAATCCCTAGTACGACCTTGGAGGTGAAGCGGGGAAGCAAACAATTATAGAAATATATAGCATTTAAGATACAGTCACACGGCAGCTAACATTACTGAAGCTACTTAACATTCTTATCCACAGTGATCAGACGTCTATGCAACATCTACCTTACATTAATTCCAATTATTCAATGTTTACCCCTTTTAAACTAAAAACTAGAAGGAAAAAAATGTCAAGAAAGTACAACTCACTGTTTTCTTAGATTTTCATCATGAATTTTTTCGCATGGACCTGAAGGAAAGAAAATGTGCAAATTATCTGTGACATTAATCTTTCTCTCACCATAGAAAGATTTCGCTATTATTTTTTTTTGAAATAGCTTACTGTACACCCCACAGAAGCCAGGATCCTCCTGCCTCAGCCTCCAAATGCTAGGATGAGAAGAGTGGGCCACCACACCAGGTCCTTTTACATTTTTAAAAAGGTTGAAGGTTGAATACTCATCGTTTCATGTGGCCCACTATCAAACTAGACAGTTACTCCTCTATGATCTGCACTACCGCGTTGCTCAGTCTAAAATAATCCTGCTACTTTTGGCAAAAAAAAAAAAGGGCGGGGGGGTGTTGAGGGCTGTAGCTCAGTGATAGAGCACTTACCTGACATGTAAAGCCCTGGAGTCTGACTCCCAGCACCCCATGTAAAATAAAGTTGCATACAATCTCAATGTGGCTAGTGAGAGAGAGATTTTTGTCACTGAGTAGTCTGCAGACACCAAAACTGATCCTACTGCACCACGATACATCATAAAAACTGGCCTCCAGTTTTTGAGGTCAACACAGGAAAGAAATACATGGGGAAAGCTGAGAGAGAAGAGAAGGAAAGCTCCTTGTTGCCACCCAACAAAACCTGGAAGTGGCAGACCATTGATCTGAACCACCACGGACATTTCTTCAAACATCTGTACAGAAAGCCAAACAACATGAAACTAGCCTTCTAGTCCTATTCTCAATCCCAGAGCAACTAATTTTTATTTCTTCTAGACTTAAATTCCATTTTTTTGGGTGGGGGGCGCTTTTTGAGACAGGGTCTCCCTGTAACCCCAGCTGTCCTGGAACTCACTATGTAGACCAGGCTGGCCTTGAACTCACAGAGATCCTCCTGCTTCTGCCTCCTGAGTGCTGGGATTAAAGGTGTGCACCACCACACCCGGCTTAATTCCATTTTTTCTGAATTTTATGCTTATTTTGTTTTTGGCCTATCAATATTATATATCAAAATTTTAGGTTAAACAACCCTTCAGTATTTATATTTTGACAATGTAAATAACATTTTCTACAGAGCCAAAAGATGTTACAATGTTTCTGATGTACTTTTCTTATTATTTATTTTCTATATATTTATTTTCAGATCTTTCTTAAGTACTCTGACTCAGTCAAAGAAAGTAGTATTTCAATACCAATTTCCCTAAAGACAAGATGTAGAAAATTAAGTTTTGTTTCCTTTCATGAGCCTTGCCATCAATCTGGGATTACTTATTTTCCAAGCTTACTGGAGCTATTATCCAGGGGAATTCATTATCTTCACTGTATTTGATGCAGTATTTTTTGTTCTTCTTTCCTGATTAATGTACATCATTTTGGATCAACGGCAGACACACTCATTGAAGCTTGGCCTATCTAAAATGTCTTTTCTTCACTCTGTCTCGATGCTTCCCTATTTCACTAACCTTGGCAAAAATATTTTTTCACTTCGAACACTGAAGGTGTTTTTCTGGTGTCTTCAAACCTGCAGCACTGTTCCTTAGTCTCAGGTCATTCTGAACAGCAATTCTGACTGATACACTCCCATCCCGGGTGTTCGCAAACCTCACAATAGTGTGACAGTGTATGGATCCTTTCCATTTCCTGTGCCTATCACGTGAAGAGCCTACCCAGTCTCAACACTGAAGTTCAGCATTACATTTTAAAAAATGTATTTCTTTTATGGTTTCCTTTCCTTCTGTATTCTGTCTGAAACCATTAGCCAAGTTCCTGAACAGATAAATTTTTTTTGTCTTTTTGAGACATAGTCTCTCTGTAGCCTCAGCTGGCCTGAAACTATGTAGACCAGGCTGGCCTTGATTTGACATTGATCCACCTGCTTCTGCCTGCCTGCGGAGCACTGGGATTAAAGGTGTGCACTGCCACACCCAGCTAGATACACATTTTTGATGTTAGTCTTTTTCTACTGCACATTTTTAGTAAGTTTATTTTAGCCATTTGTATACATGTGTGCATGTGTGTGTATAGCTACAGTCCTCCCTAGGTAGCCCAGGTTAACTTCTAACTAGAGATGCTCCTGCCTCAGCATCCAAAGTGCTGGGATTACAAAAGGCATGTGAGATCACACCCAACATAGCCAAATGATTAACTCTGTGTGTGTGGCACATGAACATGAGGGTGTGGCAGGTGTGTGCATGCTTTCAGAGGCCAGAGCAGACCTTTAGTGTCTTCCTTTATTCACTGTTTGGCTAGGTTGGCTGGCCAGCAAGCTGAGGACCACCTGCCTTCTCCCACTCCTAGGCCCATTCCCTATTCCCAATGCTTTGGTTACAGGCATGTGTAAGCCATGCCCGACTTTGTATGTGGGTTGCTGGGGCTCAAATTCAAGTCCTCATGAAAGCAGAGCAAGTATTCTTACCCCCATAATCTCTTTAGTGACAGTCCAGTAATTGTTAGTTCACATTTCTTTAACTTTTAAAAAAAATCTTATTTATTATTTTATGTGTATGTGTGTATTGCCTGCATGTAGGTAAATGCACCTGTGTCGTGCAATGCCAACGGAAGACAGAAGAGGCTGTCGGATCCCCTGAAATTGGAGTTACGGACAGCTGTTAGCTGCCTGTGGGTGCTGGGATTCGGACCTGGGTCTTCTGCAAGAACAGTCAATGTTCTTAGCTGCTGAGCTATCATTCCAGGCCCAGTTCTAACTTTAAAAAATTTTATTTTTTAGAAATTCTTTTTAAAATAATTTTTATTATTTTTATTCTATGTGTATGTGTGTATTGCCTGCATGTAGTAAGTGTACTTGTGTTTGTGCAATGCACACGGAGGACATAAGAGCCAGTCGGATCCCCTGGAACTGGAGTTATCGACAGTTGTTAGCTGCCATGTGGGTGCTGGGATTCAAACCCAGGTCTTCTGCAAGAACAGTCAGTGTTCTTAACCACTGTGCTATCTTTCCAGCCCCAGAAGTTCTTTTGAAGAGCAATATTCTCTCTGATATGTAAGCATCTCGTTTTTCTGAAGATACTAAAGGTAGGTAAGACTTTGGAACAATTTTCTTGTGTATTTCCCATCATTTCTTACCATCACACCCTCCCCCCCCTTGTGCCCACTTGGGTAATCTCTCAAGTTGAAGGTATTCTTCAAACACGTGGCTACTTAGTGCTCTTTGACAAGCAACTGATTTGTAAAGGTTAATTCCAAACTCTGACTGGAAAGTAGCATGTAAAGGCAAGATTTGCCACCAAGGGTTTAGGAAAATCAAGCTCTAATGTTTTAGATTCTCAGAGGGTCAGGGCGCAGAGATCACTTGCTCTCTTGTGCCTAGGGAAAAAGGTATCTAGCTCTACCTTCCAGAAGCATGTAAGAGACCTCCACTATTAAGGAGTCATTTACTCTTTTATAATCTCATGTTTGTTCACTATTGCCCTGTGCCTTGCCTACAATTTCAAAATCTAGACCTTTCTAGCCATAATGTAGCCTAAAACTCAAAGGAAAACATTAGCATCAGCAATGTATTCTGCCTGAGACCACACAAAACAGCCAATTATTTTTATATTTTATCCTTCAGATGAAGTAAAGTCTCTCTAGTCAATTTCTCCAGAAAATTACCCTATCTGGCTAAGTCACTGGGGTCAAAGAGGTAGGATCATGAGATGTGCAAGATTACCCAAACTAGTGGCTTTTTTCTGGGAGCAATTCTACCCCAGGGAACATCTGTCAATGTCTAATATTTTTGGCTGCCACAGTGAGAAATGCCACTGGCATATACCCATTACAGGGATGGTAACAACGTCAAGGCTTATACAAAAAAACCTCTCAACTCAATCCGTTGCATTTTTAGCCCCATGATCCAGCTCTGGCTTCTATGGTATCCTGGTGCCCAAATCCTGGACTCACTGAAGGTTCTAGGATCAAACAACTGTTTTGTTTTGTTTTTTTTAAATATTCCTTTCTATGGCTTTTCAGGTATGTTTCTCTGCTCTGTTGAAAACTCTAAGTTTAATTTTAAAATAATAAACGGTAAATAGAAAATTCACTTACCAAGATCAGAACGAGTATTTGTGAACAATTCCGCAGGGCAAAAGCCACAGAGATAGTATTTACAAACCTAGTGAGGAAAAAAAAGGTACTTAACTTTAAAAATTGCTCAGTCCTAAAAACTCTATTAGAAAGGGTGCCAAATATTTTCTTGTTTCTTGATAGTCATCCTTCAACCAAGTGTAAGAGCTTCATCTGTTGAACTGCATTACTTAGTAACTTTCACACTTAAATTTCAATAAAAGATGAACTTGACTTACAGAATTTCCAGCTATTTTCCATTTCCCAATAAGTAACTTACTAGGCACAAGGCTTAGCCTTTGGGAACCATAAATTAGTGGTTTCAGGCAAACAAGATTAGGGGTTGCTACACTAGCACCTGTCACCTGCCATCTCAGGAAAGAAGATCCACCTACTGGGTCTTCTATACGGTTTTATATATATATAAGAACTGGCCAGGAGGTGTTGAGAGGTGACTCAGCAGTTAAGAGCACAGGCTACTCTTGCAGAGGACCCAGGTTCAGTTCCCTGTACCCATGTGACAGCTCACAACCATCCATAACTCCAGTTCCAGATCTGACACCCTCTTCTGGCTTCTGCAGGCACTGTACACACAGATTTGCTTACATACATGCAAGCAAAACACTCATACACATAAAATAAAAATAACACAAAAAGAACTGGCCATGATGATAATACGATAACTGACTTACTCTTTATATTTTTGGAGGCACTGTCTTATTTCTCAACTCTTATCAGCTATTTCCTAGTTTCTGCTTATTATTTCTTGACCCCACAATAACAACAAATATATCCCAGAATAAAGAGGAAGTTCTGTTATTTGAAAAAAAACCCTACACCATTTTCATAAATCTTGTCATTTACATGTGATACAGTGTGACATTTCAATAATACATGTATAAAATGAGTAATGATCTCACTCTAACTTTTTTTTTTTTTTTCATATTCTAGCTTTTATTTTTTAGTTCTTGTACTGGTGATCAAACCCAGGCCCTTGTGCAGACTAGACAAGTTCTCTATATTCCTTCCTTCCCTTCAATCTAACCTTCTAACAGACTAAGAGCGATTTACAGATAAGGACTTGGAATTCATGGCCTGAATCAAAGACAATACTCATTTAAAGTAATTTTATTTTACTTTTTTGCTTAAAAGATATGTCTGAAACCCGGGCATGGTGGCGCACGCCTGTAGTCCCAGCACTTGGAAGGCAGAGGCAGGCGGATCTCTGTGAGTTCAAGGCCAGCCTGGTCTACATAGTGAGTTCTAGGACAGCTGGGGCCACATGGAGACCCTGCTTCAAAAAAAGACCGAAAAAAAGATCTGTCTGTAAAATGTATTAGGCATTTTCACATAGGCCAATACTTTTAATGACTCTTGGCAGATTCCTGTTGGGGAAAAAACTATGAACATTAAACCAACCTAATTCTCTTTCACGGGTATTTTTTGTTTCACTGAGACAGACTCTTGATTACCCCTGAACTCACAATCCTTCTAAGACTCCTGAGTTCTGGGATTATCAGCTGAGCGCCATCACACCTGGCTCACTGGTACTTTTAACGCCTTCAGCTATATCCCCAAACTACTCTATTCCATATTTAATTCTGTAACATGGTAAGCCAAGGCACATTAAGCAAAATTCCAAGTCATCATTCTTCTATTACTGTTACTGACCTAAGACTATCAAAGCACAACTATGATATATTAAAGAAAAGGCAGTATTAAATTTAAACTTCAGTGACAGAAGTAGGGTTGTAGCTTACTGTAAAGTGCTTGCCTAGCATGCACAAAGCTCTCAGTTCTGTATCTAGCACAAAATAAACTGAATAAATTTGAGTAAGGGTTCTTTTTAGACAATTGGGAGTTTACGTAAATCTGAAATAGCTTTTTTGCATTAACTGTGCCCACAAAAAGTCAAACCAAAACCTATCGGCAAGGCCTCAGGTGGCACTGGCCTATAATCCCAGATACTCAGGTAATTAAAAAAAAAAAAAATTAAAAAAAGAAGGCAGGCTAGGGAGACGGCTGAGTGGGTAGACACATTTGTCAAGAAGTCTGACACCCTGAGTTCATCCCCAGGACCAACATGGTGAAGAAGAGAACTGACTCTTGCGAGTTGTCCTGTGACTGAATGCATGCCACAGCCTGTGCTCCTTCCTATTTGAAAAAAAAAAAAAGTTTTAGGCAGCTGGAGAGATGGCTCAGCCATTAAGAGCACTGGCTGCTCTTGCAGATGATCCAGGTTTAGTTCTTAGCACCCACCTGGTGGTTAACAATTGTCTGTAACTCCAGTTCCAGGGGGATCTGACTCCCTCTTCTGACCTCTATGAATACTGCACGACACAGGAGCACTTATACCCAAAAAACAGAAATAAATCTGGGCGTGGTGACACATGCCTTTAATCCCAGGAGACAGAGGCAGACGGATTTCTGTGAGTTCAAGGCCAACCTGGTCTACATAGTGAGTTCCAGGCCAGCTGGGGCTACATGGAGACCCTGTCTCAAAAAGACCACAAAGAAGACCAAAAAGACGGCGGTGGGGGGAATGTATGACGATTCACTGGGTGGGGATGCACATCTTTAATCCCAGCACTTGGGAAGTAGAGGCAGAAGGATCTCTTGGGTTTGAGGCCAAGCCTGGCCTACAGAGGGAGTTCCGAGGCCAGATAGGGCTACATAGGGAGACCCTGTCTCAAAATAACAAAAAATCAAAATGTAAGATTCATCTACCAAGTCTAAACCACAGATTTTTACTTTAGCATTATCCTGGTATAACCTTTTGTTTGTGTGTGTATGTGTATGTACCAGGGAGCACACCTTGGACCTGGTACAGGCTGAGCATACACTCCACCCCACCACTGAGCTATCTATCCCTTAGGCCTTCCTCAGGTTCCATTTTATAAGCAAATCACATAGGTAGCAAACTCATTCAATATTTACTTTTGATAAGGTAAAAATAATTCATGTTGGCAACTGTCAACCTGATATTTGATGACAGGGTTGTTAATAAAAAATTCTACAAAACAGCCACAGACTGTGCACGCCTGCAATTGCAGCTACTTGGCTGATGTTGATACTGAGATCAAACTGGGCAACGGCTGAGCCTCTATCTCACACTTTTCCCAAAACAAAACCCAAAAGCCCACCAAACAAACAAAACCATTTAACAGCCACCCCAATTACTTTGCATCTTAAGACAGTTATAAAGTATTAGAACACCTCAACTGCCATACACATAGTAATTTAAAATCTAGGAATACCAGGAAATTTTACTAGTGAAAAAGACTGCAACATCTTTTACACTGTAGTCTCCTGACCAGCATTAATACTTTAATTCTAGCTACAGCCAGGCTAAAAGCAAATGCATTTTGTTTGGCTGCTTTTGGTTTGTTTAAAGAAAGGTCTCATTACACAGCCTAGGCTGGCCTTGAATTTGGGATGTTCCTGCCTCAGCCTTCTGTTCTGGGATTACAGGTCTGTGCCACCATGCCCAGTCAAAATTTTTTTGGCTAAAGGAGTTTGAAAATTCATCCGATTTTAAAAAGAAAAGACAAGCTGGATGTGGTGGCGCATGCCTTTAATCCCAATACTTGGAAGGCCAAGGCAGGCGGGTATCTGTGAGTTCAAAGCCAACCTGGTCTACATAGTGAGTTCCAGGCCAGCTGGGGCTACAGGGAGACCCTGTCTCAAAAAAAGAAACAAAACAAAACAAAACAAGACAAAGATGAAGAAAAAGAAGAACGAAGAAGAAACCTCTCAAAGACAAAGTTTTGAATAGAAAAATGTGTAAGAAAGAAACAGGGGCTGGTTGAGTTCATACTGTTCTTGTAGAGTTTGGTTAACTCCAGCTCCAGGAGATCTGATGCCCTCTTCTGGACTCCTCGGATACTTGCACCCACATATGCACCCCCCCCCACATATATACATAATTAAAAATAAAAAGAAAGCTGGGCATTGTGATCCACACCTTTAATCCTAGCACTCAGGAGGCAGTGAGTCCGAGGCCTTGGTCTACACAGAGTATTTCCAAGACAGCCAGGGCTATATAGTGAGACCTAACTAAGGGCCCTGAGAGATGGCTCAGCAATCAAGAGCACTGGCTGCTCTTGCAGAGGACCTGGGTTCAAGTCCCAGCACCCACATGGCAGGCAGCTAACAACCGTCCATAACTCCTGTTCCAGGGGTATTGGACACCTTCTTTCTGACCTCCAAGGTCATTGCATGACATGGGTGCATTTACACACTTGCAGGTAATACGTTCACACAAAATAATAAAAATTTTAAAACTAAATAAAAAAATAAATATTAAAAAACTCAAAGAGCACAGTTTTGCTAAACCATGTTCACGCTCTCAAACAATTCTTTTTCCTGTCTTTTAGTTTTATAACAAACTGCTTTGTGGTCATAGTTCATACACCCCTACTTACTGCCCTAAAATTTTTGATAGTAAAATTCCAAACAGTTTTTCACAGCAGTAAAACATCTCGGATGTTCAGAAACCTTTAAATGTTTCCCCATGGAATGCAGTTCAAATTTAATTCCTGCCTATCTATCTATTGGATCCCCACCCTACAATACCAAACAAGGGCTCCAGTTGTAACACTATTTACAATTTCCCAACTTCAAGGATTTTCTTCAACTCTTAGTTCAAGCTTGCCTTCTTTCTTTCCTCAGGCTTACTGATTTCATCAATCCTTTAAGTTCCAATATTTAAGGGCCTCTGTGAAAAGCCCTTCCTGAGCCTAGATTAGACATCCCGTCCCACAGGCTCATTAATACCCTCTACTTTCCCCCACTGTACTCATATTGTGTCATTAAAGTGTATTTACTAATTCGCATCTGTCACCATACTGATGGCTCTCTGGGGCCAAGTGTTGCACCTACACTTTTCTATTAAGAGTAAAGTATTCTGAATAAATGAATATAGGAATTTCCTTAACTTAAGCTGCCTTCCCCCTTTGTGAAAAATCAAATCTAATAGTGTGTATACTGCAGATATATGCACACATTTTTCCTAAGGCAACAGTTGTGGTTTGAATGTGACCCCCCTGGGGGCGGGGGGGGCCTCATGTGTTTGAATACTTGGTCTTCAGTTGGGAAGGTTGTGAGTCCTTTAGAAGACAGAGCCTTGCTGGAAGAAATATGTCACTGGGGGTGGACTTTGCGGTTTTACAGCCTGCTCCACTGCCTGCTCTCTGCTTCTGGACAACCAGTGCAGTGACTGGCCAGCCTAAAGCTCCTCTGCCAAAGAGGATCGCATCCCCTTCTGAACTATAAGGCTATTAAAATAAGCCCTTTCTCCTTTAAATTGCTTTTTTTCTCAGGATATTTTATCACAGCAACAGAAAAGAGGTGGTAGGGGATATAAAGGAAATAATTTGGCCATATGTTAGCATTACTGAACTGGACAGGGTACATGAAGTGTTCATGACACTAGTCACCAACTCAGCATGTGCCAGGGAGAAAAAAACAAATAGCAATTATTTGACATATACACCAATGGTAACAAAGCCAACACAATGTTACTATAGAATAAAGCAGAAAATTTCAGCAAGAGCATTCTACTGACACTGAATTAAAATTATCTAGAAGATATTTAATAGTAGGTGCCATACAACCCACTAATATTTTTAGAACTAGTTTCTAAAATTTGCTTTAAGTGCATGGGGGGGGCTATCAACAGAGTTTAACTATAGTTTCAGGAGATCCAACACTCTCTTCTGGCCTCTGCAGGCATTGCACACGTGTGATGCATTTACAAACATGCAGGCAAATTGTTTCTAAACACAGGCACACACATAAAATTTTTAAAAATTAAAAAATTTTAAAGCTAAAAGTTAATTGGGTTGGGGGGGTTGCTTCACTTTGATAGGCCAAGAAAACAAGAAAGGGTCTAGAAAATTCATACTGTGACAAATGAAAGGTGACAATAACACTAAAAATTCACGAACAGGGCAGAGTGTGGTGGAGACAGAGGCAGGTGGATCTCGGCGACATCCAGGCAGAGTGGTCTATACAGCTAGTCCCAGGAGACTATCTCAAAAAACAAAACCAAAATATCCACATAACAAAAAAAGGTCAAACGACACTGAAAAAGATTCACATACACATAAATAACTCAATACCCTACACAGTAAATTCCACCCTAAGAACACTGTACTATACTTTGTGGAGTCCATTACCAACTCTACACAACTTTTTAGCCAACCCCTTTTTAAGGCAAAAGACTAATCTATCACCTTATTTTCCTGCACTGCAAAACTGAAATCTTACTCTACCCAATGCCTGTGTTTAAAAACAATGAGCAATTATTTTCCTGAAAAGCCTACCTAGATATTAGCCAAGTGTGGTGACGCCTGTAATCCTAGCACTCAGGAGGCTGAGGCAGGAGCAAAGGCACCCTGGCCTATCAAAGTTTTTAAAAACCCTGTCTCAAAAGAGCAAATTCAAAACCGTTTCTGTCGAACCATTTCCTCATATTTGGTTAGCAATTATGCTCTATGTTCAAAACTAGATAAAAATATTTGAAATACAGCACAATATCTGCAAAGAGAACGAGGCTACAAAGATTAAGTTTAGCTTCACCAGTAACAGCCTGCGTGAGCTTCCCCAGGCTCACCTGTGAACCTGGGGTTGCATTTAACCCTTTTTAGAAGGATTTTAAAAAAACGATCGACTGTGTGTGTGAAAGCAAAAACCTTGACAACCGTCTACCTTGAGGGACTTAATCAGTTGCCATCAAACAGCATTTGCAAACCATTTCCGAAAACTATACGAAGTTATTAATTCCCTCTTTTAAATTTCTACTTTTCCAAAGGAGTGTGAACTGGAACCATTACTAAATAAGACACTGCACGGTTCTCACCACTGACACCGGTCAGAAATCTCAGCTTAAACACGACGGCTGAACCTAAATAACGGAAGCATCTGCTCCTCTATTTTTTAGGCGAGAACTCGGAGCCTCTGGATGAACTGACACGGGCCGTTCCGTCCGTCCCTTCCCGCGGGTACCGGTCTCAAGGTGCTGTTTTAATCCCGCCAAGCGTTCTCCCGGACTCCGCAGAACTCCACATCAGCCGGATCCCCGGGGCCGCGTGGAACCCTCCGCCCGCCTCCCGCCGCCTCCCTCCCCCTCGAGGTCAGGTGCTCCGCGGCGTGCCCGGGCCCCAAATCGCACGGCCCCACCACCCCGGCCCGCGCCCTCCCCGGAGCTCGGGCACAAGCCCAAGGCCTGAGGGACTTACGCTCTCGTGGTCCCACCGCACGTTGCTGCGCTTCTCATCTGGGGCCAGGTTTCGGTCCCGGCCCATTAACTCATCCAATAATTGCGCGGCCGAAATCATGGTGCTTCCTCCGGGCGGCTGCTCCCACCAGCCCAGGCACCCGCCAACGAAAAACACCAGCCACTCGACCGCCAAATCCCTCGGCTCACTCTCAAGCCGAAAAGCCTCTTGCAAAGAGCAGCCGATAAGACAAAATGGCCGCCGCCCGGGCGTCTTCCCAGCATGCCGTGCGCCCGCTGAGACACGCCTAGGCCCAGGCGGCGATGGCGGCGCGGGGGCGGGACCGCCGAGCCTGGCGGAGGGGCAGGCCCTCACTCCGCCCTCCCGATGCGGCTTCCCCGGCGTAGCGGCGGTGTCTGATCGCCAAAGCGCTCGGACTTCCCCGGCTCCACTGAGGAACGAGGGGAGCTCTGAAAACCTTGACTCTGCCCCGACCTGAAGAACGTGTTCTTTGTCCACGTGGTGCCCACGGTGCCATCTTCGAAGGGAAATAGGATCAGCCAGCAGCGTTTGCGGTCGGACTCCATTTTCCTAGTCGCCCTGGTCACTGCCTGACTTTATCCGCCCACTACCCCTAATCCGGTGCTGGAAATGAAATAGGATCAGCCAGCAGCGTTTGCGGTCGGACTCCATTTTCCTAGTCGCTACGGTCACTGCCTGACTTTATCCGCCCACTACCCCTAATCCGGTGCTGGAAACCGAGCCTAAGACCTTGCGTTCAGTGCTCTACCACTAAGCTAAATTCCCACCGACTTTACCTGGCCTTGTCCAATTCCCTTGATTATACGGTGAAAAACTAAGGGTCAGTCTATATGGGGTTAAAGATTCAGCCCCAATGCCTTCCATTCTGGAATTTATTTTTCTTTGTGTGGGGTGTGTGGGAATGTTCATGTATACAGGTGCACGTGGAGGCCAGATGGCGATCAACCGCTGGTGTCATTTCTCAGGACGGCCCACCTCTCACTGGGACCTAGGACTCAGATCAGGCTATCATTTCCCGAAAGCCCCAGGGATCCATTGTCCCTGCCTCCCCAACACTGCAGTAATGTGCGCACCACCACAGGGCTGGGGATGGGTAGGACTTATCCTTCCATCTCCCATTCTGGAATTCTTAAAATTATTGATTCAGGGGCTCCAGAGATGGCTCAGCGGTTAAGAAGACAGGTTGTTTTTTCAGAAGACTCAGGTTCTAATCTCAGCACCCATATGGCAGCTAACAACTGTCCCTAACTCCAGTCCCGCGGGATCCGACAGCCTCTTCTGTCCTCTTCGGGCATTGCACGACAGAGGTGCACTTACCTACATGCAGGCAACACATGCATACACATAAAATAAAAATAATAAAATATTGATTCAGCTAGGCATGGGGGCACACTCCTTTAATCGTAGCACTTGGGAGGCTGAGGCAGGCAGATCTCAGTGACCTCGAGGCTAGCCTGGTCTACATAGCTAGTTTCAGGCCAGCTGGGGCTACAGGGAGTACCAGTCTCAAAAAGACAAAAAAAAAAAAAAAGAAAGAAATCAGGCATGCTCCTCTTCCTACCAGAAACTGGAAGAGTTTAGTCAAGGAAAGCAAAAAAAAAAAGTTTCAAAAACATGGAAATGGTAATACTGAGGAAAGCTGCTGAATGTCTGGTAGAATTTTATTTATTTCTTTTTTATATATTTCATTTTATTGTTTTGTTTTGTTTTTGAGACAGGGTCTCTCTATAGCCCCACCTGGCCTGGAACTCACTATGTAGAGCAAGCTCTCTCTCTCACAGAGATCTGCCTGCCTTGGCATCCTGAGTACCAAGATGAAAGGTGTGTGCCACCAAGCCTCTCAAAAGATACTTTTTAGCCTGGGGTGGTGGCTCACCCCTTTAATCCCAGGACTCGCAGGCAGAGGCAGGGGGGATCTCTGTGAGTTCAAGGCCAGCTTGGTCTACATATCGAGTTCCAGGACAGCTAAGGCTGCAGGAAGACCCTGTCTCAAAAAGACAAAAAAAAAAAAAAAAAAAAAAAAAAAAAAAACAAAAAAAAAAAAAAAAAAAAAAAAAAAAAAAAAAAAAACCTTAAAAAAATACCTCTCCAAGCCTGGCTTGGTGGCGCCGCCTTTAATCCCAGCACTTGGGAGGCTGAGGCAGGCAGATCTCTGAGAGAGATAGCTCCGTGGTTAAGCACTGGCTGTTCTTGTAGAAGACCCAAGTTTGAATTCCACCCACCCTCCAGTCTGTAACTCCAAGATTCCAGGTCGAGGGGATCCAATGCCTTCTGACCTTGGGCATTGCTTGACATGAGTGCACTTACATGCAGGCATAACATTCATACACATAAAATTTTTTTTAGTTATTAAAAACAAAATAATGGATGAAAGGCTGAACTACAATGGGATGAAGAACTAGGAAGAAAACAAAAAAAAAAAGGTAAAATACAATACTTGGGAGTCTGAGGCAGGAGAATCAGCTCAAGGTCATCCTTGGCTACATAGTTTGAGGCCAGCCTGGGTGACATGAGGAAAATCAATGTCATCTCCACTGTTCCACTGTGACTTTCCAAAGTCAGCAGCAATCTCCTTAAGATGAAACTCTTACTTTTCAGTCCCTTCTCACTCTTGAGCCTGTGAGTCACTCATCACTAATCCCTCCACTCCTTTGCTTTCCCTCCTACTATTCCAGTTATTCCTCCTCAAGGTTCTTTGAGACTTTCCTGTCCGCCATTAGAATGTTGAGTGTTCTTCAGGATTCTGTCCAGCTGTCTTTTCTCAGTACTCACCAACTCTCTTTGGGTTATCTCTTCTGTTCCCATGACTTCAGCTAACACCTTTTACTGATGACAACCAAATCCCAGCCTCCAGCCTAGATCTTTCTGAATTGAGTACCCAGCACACCCCTCTTAACTGGGTAGCTCCACTTAAAGTCAGAAAAGCAAGCAAACAAAACAAAAACCACAAACAATAAACAGTTTTCTGGGCCAGGAGTATAGTTCAGTGGTAGAGGACTAGCCTGGCATGTGTGAGGCCCTGTGTCTGATCTTCAGCATCAAAAGAAATAAAGAAAAACAAAAAACAAAGGCCCTAAATAGCTCAGTTTGATTCAAAAGTGAGTTCAGGACTAGGGCGATGGCTTAGTCAATAAAGTACTTGTCTTGTGTACTGGATAGCATCAGTTGTCAACTTGACACACCTGGGAAGAGGGACGCTCAGTTGAGGAATTTCATTCATCAGATTGGCCTGTAGGTAAGTCTGTGGGGCATTTTCTTAAGTGTTGAGTGATGTAGGAGGACCCAGTCAGTTGTGGGCAGGGTTACCTCTGGGCAGGTAGTCCTGGGTTGTATAAGAAAGTAGACTGAGCACAGGCCAAAGCAAACTAGCAAGTAGCATTCCTCCATGGTCTCTGCTTCAGCTCTTACCTGCAGGTTCCTGCCTCAAGTCTCTGCCCTGGCTTCTCTCATTGATGAACTGTGATTGGGACATAAGCCAAATAAACTCTTTTCCCCCTAAGTTGGTTTTGGTCAGGGCGTTTTATCACAGCAACAGAAAAACAAACTAGAACATATTGCAAGAATGAAACCTGGAGTTTGGATCCATAGCACCCACTTCAAAAGCTGAGTGGAGGGGGTGGAGAGATGCCTCAGTGGTTAAGACACTGACTGCTCTTGCAGAGAACCCAGGTTCAATTCTCAGCACTCATATGGCCGCTAACACTGTCCATAACTTCAGTTCCAGGGGATCCAATGCCCTCTTCTGACCTCCGTGGGCATTGCATGGCCTGGGTGCACTTATCTACAGGTAGGCAATACATCCACACACATAAAATAAAAATAATAAAATAAGCCGGGCGTGGTGGTGCACACCTTTAATCCCAGCACTTGGGAGGCAGAGGCAGGTGGATCTCTGTGAGTTCGAGGCCAGCCTGGTCTATGTAGTGAGTTCCAGGACAGCTGGGGCTACAGGGAGACCCTGTCTCAAAAAGACAAAAAAATAAAATAAAATAAAATATTAAAAAAAAAAACAAAACCTGTGTGAAAGCCCAGTGTGGAATCCCAGCACTGGGGAGTGAGAGGTAGGCATATCTCTGTGAGTTTGAGGCCAGCCTAGTCTATATAATTCCAGGCTGGCTAGGGCTACATAGTGAAACCATTTCAAAAAAAAAATTGCTGAGTGAATCGACATCACACACTTATGAGGAGATCCCCAATTCCCAAGGCACACTGGTCAGCCAGTCTAGCTGAATTGGTGAGTTCCAGGATCAGGGAGAGACCCTGTTTCAACAATAATAATAATGTGGAGAAGCAATTAAGGAAGATGCCCCAGGTGCTCTGGGTTCACAAGCACATACATGTGTGCATCCACACACACGCACACACAAAGTGGATTCATGCTGGCTGGGCATGATACCCCATGCTTATAATCCAGCACTGGAGAGGTTGAGCAGAAGGAGTAATATGAGTTCAAGATAAGTTTGGGATATTTAATGAGATTCAGGCTAACCTAGCCTACAAATATTCTGTGTTACCCACTTCCTCCCCCCCAAAATGAATTCATGTTTAAACCATTATGAACCTCAAACCTCTTCATCCTTTGTCCAAATTCTGGCAGCACTATCTAGTCAGTCAGAAATCCAGGTGTTATCCTTGTTTTCGGACCATAGCTTCCTTCTTCCATCAGCAGCTCTTCCCTGACTTCTGCTTGCTGCATTTCTACATAGTCACTCAATCCACATCACAATCCTACAGATTAGCGCTTTATCCTTCCTGCTTCATGGATGCAGGATTTGAAGCACAGGAAGGTAAAATAGCTCATCCAATTTGAGGAGTGTCACAGCTGGTGACAAACCTGAGCAGACTGGCTTCTGGCTCCATGCTTACCCCCACTCTGCCTTACTATTCTATAGTAATACGTACTGCCCTCTTGCTCGGCTCATCTCCCATGCTACACAGTGTGTTTTGAAGTCAGGGACTGATTTGTTCATAGTAGCATCCTCAGTGACTAGGGTAGTGCCTGATACCCAGTGCAGGATGATCATCCAGCGAGCTGGGTAGTTCCTTAGAGACAAGACCAAGTATAGTCAAATGGAGGTATGGAGCATGTGTTAAGTTCCAATTGTTTATAACCAAGATTAAAAGTTTTGATTTTGTTTGTTTAAGACAAGATCTCTCTATGTAACTTTGGCTGGCCTGGTACTTGTTATATAGGTCAAACTGGCCTCCAACTCATAGAGATCCACCTGCCTCTGCCTCCTGAGTGCTGGGATCACAGGCATGAGTCACCACACCTAGCCAAGATTAAAAGTTTGTTTTTGGTTCCAGGTTTCAGAATAAGTTTTGTTTTTTTGTGGGGGCAGGGATTAAATATAGGGTTTGAAGGATGGGGTCTCAAGGATAGTCCTACTACTGAGCTCTATCTGTATCCCTCGGTGTTTTTTTTTTGTTGTTGTTTTGTTTTGTTTTTTAAACTTGAGAATTAATAAAGGATTGGAGACAAAGATCAATAGAGACTGGGTTTAAGGCTGGAGATGTAGCTTAATGTAGTGCTTGCCTAGCATGCATGAAGGCCTGACTTTAAACATGAAATAAGTAACATTTAAGCCACCTAATTAAATAACATTGAGTACATAATCCTCTTTTTTTTTTTTTTTTTTGGTGTTTTTGAGACAAGGTCTCCCTGTAGACCAGACTGGCCTCAAACTCACAGAGATTTGCCTGCCTCTGCCTCCCGTGCCAGGATGGCCTTGAACCCAAAGATTGGCCCGGCCTCTGCCTCCCAAGTGCCAGGATTAAAGGTGTGCACCACCACACCCAGCATGTTATAATCTTTTTAAGGAAAGAAAATTCAGCAAACTCTTATGAAAAAACTCATGGGTTTTGGAGTATAATTACCACCCAATTTTGTTGTTGTGCTCTATCAGTAAACATGACTACCTTTTTATAATGCATTTTTAATAAAATTTATTTTAAATATTTTATTTATTATTTTTATTTTATGTGTATATGTGTATTGCCTGCATGTATGTGTGTGCACCTGTGTTGTGCTGTGTCTCAGAGGTCAGAAGAGGGCTTCAGATTCCCCTGGAACTGGAGTTAAGGACGGTTCGTAGCCGCCATGTGGGTGCTGGGAATCGAACCTGGGTCCTCTGCAAGAGGAGTCAGTGCTGAGCCATCTCTCCAGCCCCTATTTATTTATTTTTTAAAGGCCTTTAAGGGCTAGTAAGATGACTCAGCAGTTAAGAGTACTGGCTGCTCTTCCAGAAGACCTGGGTTCCCAGTATCCACATGACAGCTAACTGTAGTCCATAACTCCAGTTCCAGGGAATCCAACACCCTCTTCTGGCCTCTGTGAACATTGCACATACATGGAGCACTTATATATACACATACAAAACACTCATATACATAAAATAAAAAGGCCTTAAAAAAGAGATTACCTGCCAGGCGTGGTGGCACATGCCTGTAGTCCCAGCACTTGGGAGGCAGAGGCAGGCAGATCTCTGTGAGTTCAAGGCCAGCCTGGTCTACATAGTAAGTTCCAGGACAGCTGGGGCTACAGGAAGACCCTGCTTCAAAAAGCCAAAAAAAACAAACGATTACTATATCCCATGTTACTCAAATTGTGTTAAATGACCCAGTCCGGATCCATTCATATCAGCTTCAGATGAAGTATCATGCTGGATCTGAGAATTAAAATTTAAATTGGAGGAACAAATAAATGTGTAAGCTCAAGCAGAGTTCCAGTTTGCATGAAGATAAATTTAAGTGTTTAGTCAGTTTATATTCAGCAGTATACGGTGTGCAGTGTGTACTGTGTGAATTACTGTATCATGATAAACAGATGCTGCTTTTTCTTAGACAAATGCTTGCTGTGCAGCCCTGGCAGCCCTGAGAGCTGGAAATGAAGACTCTATACCTAAATTTGTTACCTCCTATTTCATCTCTGTTGTCCAGGCCCTCCTCACTGCCTCCCCAGGGCGTTTTCCTTAATCCTCTCACCCCACCTGCAAAATTCTCCCCAGTGCCAAGTGAGGGATCTCTCCAAGGCACCTAGGCTCAGTAAAACAATATTTTCTTTTTCTCCCACTGGGTAGTAGAACAGTGCCAACCGAGGCTCTGAGTCTCATTAGATAGATTAGGCAAGGAGTCCTGCACACTGCTGTTTATAAACACACCATAGCTCTACACTTAGTGCCTGGGATAGCAACCAGGATGACTAAAACATATTTGCTGCTCTTCCTTCTTTGCATGACTTTCATGAAGAGTAATTATGATTTATAAGCTATAATGAATTAGTTTATAAAAACTGCAAACAGTGGTAATAATTTTCATGAAAGCCAACTTAGAAGGAATTTCTATAATGAGAGATAAAACAATAAATTAATAAATATTCTGGCTGAATGGTACCAAGCACTGACAAAAATAAGAAAAACAATGTCATCTATCTCTACAATGATGGGCACATTATAGTAGGATCTATTTTCAGCCCATTTTCTCGTCCTGCTGGGCAACAATTGGCTCAGATAAGGAAAAAGAGCCAACCAAACTTGCGGGAGGCGGAACCCACCAATTATTTTTGATGCCTGGTAAACAGCCTGCGCCAGAGGATAAGGTTTTTCTGGGTCTCAACACCCCCCCACCCCACCCCCGCCCCATTTTTTCATCTGTCTGTCCTCCTCCATGGAAGCTGCGGGGTGGGATGGGGTGTCTAAATATAGCCGATGAATCACAGCAGATAATACGGTGCAGTAGTTACATAAACAGCCAGCCCCGGCGGCGGGGCCGCGGATCGGAACGGAAAATATCTGGGTCAGGGTTGTCACACAGAATAGGGTCCCCCGGAGCCGGCCTTCCCAGGGGTGGTGGGGGAGGAGGCCTGGGCCTGCGGGCCACGAGCAGTCGGGGATCCACTGGCGGGCAGGACAGAGCACAGGGCCAGGCGCGGGCGGCGGCGCGAGCTGGGCGGGTGAGCCCAGCGCTCCCTCCTTATGGCCCGGAGCCGGCCGCGGAGGCGGCGGCGGCGCTGACAGGCTCGGGGCGGGGCGGCCGGGGGCCTTGGGCCCAGGGGAAGATGAGCGCCCTCCTAGAGCAGAAGGAGCAGCAGGAGAGGCTGCGGGAGGCCGCGGCCTTGGGGGACATTCGGGAGGTGCAAAAACTGGTGGAGAGCGGGGTGGATGTGAACTCCCAAAATGAGGTCAACGGCTGGTAAGTGGCAAGCGGGGGAGGCCTAGGGTTCAGGGCTGCTGGCTTGGGGTGTGGAGCAGTCAGCGGTGACCTGGGCCGAGCGCCGCCCTAGGATGCCGGGCTAAGGTGAGGCCTGGGAGTTCAGACCTCGCAGGTTGTACCCTCAGGAGGTGAACCCTGCCTCCATTACTCGTGCAGTCGGGAGTGCATCCTGCCCAAATCTTTCCCTGCGTGGTCCACCGCGGGCAGCGCCCACCTGTACCCAGGACCTCACGCCATCCCCCGACCCCCCTGGCTAACTTGACCAGAATCTTGCTAGAGGCCATGATTCTCACCCTGGGACTCTGAGCTAGATCTTACCAGGCTTGAGTTATTTTCCGTGGGCGCTTCTGAAGAACACCTGGTACAGAGGTAAAAGCATAAACAACCAACCAAATGTCAGTCTTAAAACTAGTACGATTAATTTAGCCAACACAAGGAGAAGAAACAACTACAAAAAACTCACCACTTGCATCAGTGCTTTGCCTCTTTGGTTCCAATGCAAGAGTGATTTGCTGGTCTTAACTCACCAAGAGAGCCACTTGCCTCTGCCTCTTGAGTGCTGGAACTAAAGGCATGCACCACCACCCCAGCAGAAGTCTCATTTTAAGATGTGATCAAGTCTTTAGTTTCAAGTTACTGAATGTGATATTATTTTGCCCTTTTTGCATTCACATTAAAAAAAATTTTTTTTTTTTTTTGTCTTTTTTAGACAGGGTCTTCATGTAGTCCTGGCTGTCCTAGAACTCACTATGTAGACCAAGCTGGCCTGGAACTCATAAAGAGCCACTTGCCTCTTCTTCCCAAGTGGCTGAGATTAATGGTATGCGTCACCATGCCCAGTTCACATTTAAATTTTTATTTGAGCAAGATAATGTTTAGGTAACCTATTTTGCTAGTTTAAAGTGAATTTTAAAATGTTTTATTTTTTTCTTTGTAGAGTCCTGCATTTTGGATCTGAAAGGGGTTCTGGAGATAGTTTACATCCCATCTTGCTCTGGTCATACAATTGTTAATATTATCATAGTCAGAACTGAGGTTTCCTTACTTCCTAAGAAATCTATCACCCTTCCCCCCGACCCTCCAAAAAAGCCTGGGTATCTGTCCACAGCCAGGAAACAGTGCGTGCTACTTTCTTGTTTTGTTTGAAAGTGTAAGCAAACTAACCTGTGGTTGTGTTTGCATTGCCCTGGCTTATAAAACTGTGAATTACCGTTTTGGCACTGGGAGGCAGTGCTGTACAGAATAAGAAGCCTGATCTCTCCGTTCCTGCCTGTGTGACTTTGCCTGAGTTATTTCATTTTCCAGTTATTTCAGAAGTGTCCTTAGCTTTTACTGAGATGAAGGATAAGAAATAGCTCACATGTATTGAACTTACTCTGTAGTACAGATGTGGGTTGGAGCACTTGATGTATATTATCTCATTCACAACTACTTGGGGCCATAGCTATTGTTATTTTCACCATCAGGCATAGGACGAAACCGAAGCCCCAGGAAAGTTTAGTAAATTATCCAGTTTGCAAAATGCCTCTAAATTCTTGAATTTGGGATTTAGCAATTCTCTATTACTGTTAGCTTTTAAGTAACTGGTCGAGGTGAACACTGGGCCTGTCGTCTGACCCTCAGCACAATGTCTGCTGTGTGGCTGAGGTGCAGTCAATGTTAGGTGAGTCTGAAGTAACCTGAAGAGTCTTCTCATAGATTTAAATCCAACCTGATGCCAATTTATTCAATCTCAGAACAAATTCCAGTTCCCCCTGTCCCCCTTATGCTCTCTTCCTGATGCTTTGAGTGTTTCTCATCTTAGCAAAGAGGCCAGAATGCTTGGCCCCCTCCTCAGTCTCTATCTTTCCCTCATATCCAACAAACTGTCAGTCAGCCAATTCTGCCACCTCCATGTTCAGACAAAGACCTCACAAGCTCTACCATTACACTTCTGTACAAAACTCCCACCATGTGTCTTGCTATATTATTGCATAGTCCCCTAACTAGTCTCCTTACTTATACTTAACAGTCTTAACTCAGTGACCAGAGGGATTCTGAGTTAGAACAACTTGGATCATTTCACTCTGCTAAAAATCCTCTAATGCCCCTATCTTCTCTCAGAAGAAGCCAGTTTCTACTCCCTGTCACTCTCCTACCTTTGGGCCTCATCTCTTGAGATCTGCCTCCTTGCTCACTTCTTTCCATTCCTCTGGCCTCTTTGCTTTTCCTGGAACAATAGGCATAGCCCTGATTCAAGGCTTGCATTTTTGCCTTCCCTCTTCCTAGAAAGTTTTTCTTCTAGATAACCTGTGTTTTGCTCTTTGTCGTCCTTTAAATTTTAGTTTAGATATCAACCTTCTTGGTGAGGTTTTTTCCTCGGCCTTCAATATGAAATTGTATACGTCCCCAACCCCTCTGTTCCCTAGTCTTACTCCGCTCTATTGACCCTGTAACAGTCTCTACCTAGGATACTTCATAATTTCCTTATCTGCCATTTGTCTCAGCTTCCTTGACTATAAAATGAAGGAGGAATGTTTATAATAGTAATTTGCCTCCCCCACCACTTTTTTTGAGACAGGGTCTTACAGTGTAGCCCTGGCTGGCCTGGAACTCATTATGTAGATCTGGCTGACCTCAAAGAGATCTGCTTGCCTATGCATCCCAAGTGCTGGGATTAAAGGTGTGTGTCACTATGCCCAGCTTTTTAAAAAAATTTTTCTGAAACTTAGTTTCACTATGTTGCTTCCACTGGCCTTAACTCTTGGGCTCATTCAGTTCTTCTGCCTCAGTCTCCTGTGTAGCTGGGACTGTAGGCAAACACTATGGCATCCAGCTCCTCAGGGATATTTTGAAGAGTAAATGAATAGAGTCTTTAGAATGGTGTTCAACATGTAAAGTGTTATATTTGTGTCAGCTATTGTTATTTTCTTACTACTAAGGAGCATGTTGGGTAGTGGCACATAAAGTTACCCAGAGGGGAAAATACTCTTTTCAGCACTGAAGAGTGGATGGTGACTGCTTTCAGTTCTTGGTTGCTCAGTAAGCACAGTTTCAGCAGTGATGAATGATGCTCAGTTGACGAACAATGCCCAGAGCCTCTGGTCTGAAATATTTCCCAGCACTGACAGGATGTTCTGACAGCAAATCTAATGTTAAGGGAGTTGAAGTTCAAAGATAGAGTTTCCACATCAATTGTAATTCAAGTGTCATGCATACCCTTTGGCTTTTAGGAATGAATATGATAGTTTATAAAGAGGTTGAAAATACTACTTGGCTGCAGTGGCTATGAGTTATGGCTGCCCAGAGCCACACCACTCTGGACTGTAAATAATGATCCCTGAGGGGTTCAGGGTGGCAGGGACGTGCTATGGTGACTTAACCTCACTTCACATGGTGATGCTGAGACTACTGGGTTTGTCTGAGTCTCTCAGACCCACTCACAGTAAATTACTCTGTTACTCTCCAGCTTGCCATGAACAAGTGATTTACTACTAGTAAGTGAGCACTTATTTCCAAAAGGGAGTACATGTTTCTCATCCTGCTCCATTCATTTCTTAGTGCTTACTTGTAAGAATTCATTTTTCAAGCCTATGCCACAGACATCTACATGCAAACACTATGGGCCACAGTTTGCCCAGGATCAAGGATATTTTGGATTCTTCTACTCTAAGCAATGCCCATCTTATCCTAGGTCTACCCATTAAGTAATAAGAAATAAGCACTTAGCACTTGGACTGGAGAGGTAGTTCAATGGTAGAGTGCTTGCCTAACATTTATGAGGCCCTTGGTTCAATCCCCAGTAACACACGCACACACTCACAGGCATTCCTGTGTGTCAAGTAGATACTTCCTTATGTGCATGGAGTCTCCATGAAGACTCTTCTGCTGAGTATGTAGCTCAGTGATCTAGTACTTGCCTAGCATGTGTGAGGCCCTGGATTCTAGCACCACACACACAAAAAAGTCTCTTCCCAGGCTGGGCATGGTGGGGTATGCCTTTAATCCCAGGCAGAGGCAGGACTGTCATCAGAGTACACTGGGTGGTGGGTAACGGTGTAGAATGTCATTCTGAAACATCAGTGGCGTTGCTCTGTAAGTCATGTGCACGGGGCAAATCAGCTTTTCCCTAGAATCAAATGAACTTTCCAGGTAGATGTGCTTCCCTGGTTAGTGACCTAATTCTCACACTTTCTTCATCTTGTCTGTGTTTCACTATAAGCTCTGAAGATGTTTATCTCAGTTAAAGCAGAGCACTGATGAATAAGAACATTTTAAAATGAAAAAAAGTATTTTCCTTCCATAGTAGGCATTCTGCTTTAGCACCTGAGTATAAATTTACTCCAAATCTTTTTACTTCTGTTAAGATGGCATTTTTGCTGGATGCTAATTGCCTTTCTATATAGTATTAAAATAATAGCCCTTTAGAGTCCGCAGCACCTCTATGTGCACAATATTACATAATTAGTTTTACTTAAATGAGTCTGTTACATTAGAAGGGTCTATTGTGAGATGTTTGAGTTGGCGTGTTTTCAGTGCCTTAGGAGCTGAAGGTGTGTGCATTACCTTTCATTTAAGCAGATGAAGATATGTTTGCAGCCTTCTGGAGAGATTTAGAGAAGCCAGCTTTTTGAAAAATTGACATTTGGAAATTGGGGGGTGGGGTGGTAGGAAAGAAAAAGAGGAAAAGGAAGTAAGCAATTAAGATTCACATAGTAATCCCTGCCTTAGTAGTGCCTGACGTGATAGAAGCTGCAGGTAGAGATGGTTATTAGCCTGACAACATTTAATCTTCAACTGGCACTTGGTGCGTACAAAGTGCATTTTCATAGTCCTAAAAATAAATGAGGCAACGTGGAAATATATTTGAAAGAGACCAAGAGGCCCTAATGGAGGTTACTGATAGAGTACCATCCTGAAGTCTCATGGGAGTTGGCCAGCCAGGCAGCAGTCTTTGGAAGCCCTGGGAATGAAAGCTCCTGGGATAAATTAATATTTCTCATGGCCTAGAGATTAAAAGAAAAACTTTTTTTTCAGTGCTGGAATTCAAATTGAACCCAGGACCTTGTGCAGTCTAGGCAAGCACTCTACCATTGAGTTACAGCTCCAGTCCCAGGAAGAAAACTAAATTTTAAGCATATTAAATATTTTCATCAAGTGCTTGATAAAATGACAAGTTGAGGTTACCAGCCTGGCTTCTTGCTTCTAGTTGAACTCTTACAAGATTATGTGTATTTATTTACTTATGTTTATAATTTGAAATCTCAAATCACCTCTCCTCTCTTTCAGTCATTCTTTTTCATTTCTTTGGGACAGGACCTGTTTACACTGGGCATGTAAACGCAACCATGGGCAGGTGGTCTCTTACCTACTAAAATCAGGAGCTGACAAAGAGATTCTTACCACGAAAGGAGAAATGCCAGTGCAATTAACATCCAGGAGAGAAATCAGGAAGATTATGGGAGGTGAGTCTGTGTGTGGGACATTTGAATTTGTCAAACAGTTTAAGACTTGTATTATTGGCCACATTCTTTTTTAAAAATTTTTAATTGAATTTTTGTGTATTTCATATATAAAATCATCTTTATACCTTCTTTCCCCTTCCCCTTTGGCACCCCTCCCATAGCCGCCCCCGCCCACTGGAGTTCATACATTCTGTCATTTGTATTAAGGCCCATTATGTAAAGTTAGTGTTCTGAGATGTCCCTCATCCACCAGGGTTTAGTCTGCCTATCTAGAGTATCTCCCTTCAAGAAGATCAGCTCTTCCTCACCCAGCAATAATCAACTGCCAATAATTTGACTAAGACTGGGGCTTGCTGTTCATTTCCACAGTTATGTGCTGGGTTTTTGTCTGCCTAAGTTTGCATGGGTCTTGTACATGCTGACACCATTACTGTAGGTTTGTATGAGAAGGGTCCCAGGAGCCTGTAGGACTATTTCCATATGGTCATGTACCTCTGGCCTGGCTCTTACAATCTTTCCGCCCCCTTTTCTACAATGGTTCCTGAGCCCTGGGTGGGTGGACTTCAATATAGGAGTCCTGTCCAAGGACCCACACTCTGCTGACTCTTATTCTCTGCATTTTGGCCATTTGTGGCCTTTTGTGTTCCTGGCCCTTGGTTGCATGAGGGAGCTTCATTGTTTTTGTTTGTTTGAGACAGGGTCTCCCTGTAGCCACAGCTGGCCTGGAACTCACTGTATAGACCAGGCTGGCCTCCGTCTCACCTAGAGGTGCACCACCACACCTAACTACTGACCACATTCTTTTTTGTTCTTGTTTTTGTTTTTTGGTCTTTTGAGACAGAGTCTCCCTGTAGCCCCAGCTGGCCTGAAATTCACTATGTAGACCAGGCTGGCCTCAAACTCATAGAGATCCACCTGCCTCTGCCTCCCAAGTGCTGGTATTAAAGGCGTGAGCCACCACGCCCAGCATGACCACATTCTTGATGCTGTATCAGATAGTCTGTTTCTCAAAGTTAATTACTATGCCAAGAGAGTAATTCCATGCTGTTTCTAGGAGGTCAACATTATGTTGTTGTTTCTTTTAATTTGTAAAACTGAAGACAATGGTAATCATAACCCTAATGAGATAGTCTTTTCTCTTCTGGCCTGAAGAGGCAGTCACATTCTAAACGGTACCAGCTTCCAAGACACTCCTTTCTTGGGACTTTTTAAAGATCTCTCTTGTTCTGTATTTTATTTTTCAGTGGAAGAAGATGATGACGACGATGACCTCCCCCAGATAAAGAAGGAGTCAGAACTGCCCTTTGTTCCCAACTATTTGGCCAACCCAGCCTTCCCTTTTATCTATACCCCCACAGCAGAAGATTCAGCCCCACTGCAGAATGGGGGCCCATCCATACCCCCAGCGTCACCCCCTGTGGATGGCTCGCCTCCATTGCTGCCCCCTGGGGAACCCCCACTGTTAGGGGCCTTTCCCAGGGATCACACCTCTTTGGCACTGGTTCAGAATGGTGATGTTTCTGCCCCCTCTGCCATACTCAGAACACCAGAAAGCACAAAACCGGGTCCTGTTTGCCAGCCACCAGTGAGTCAGAGCCGCTCCCTGTTCTCTTCTGTTCCAACCAAGCCACCTGTGTCTCTAGAGCCTCAAAACGGGACATATGCAGGACCAGTGCCGGCATTCCAGCCATTTTTCTTCACTGGAGCATTTCCATTTAATATGCAAGGTAACCCCTTAACAGCAAACAGCCTCTGCAACAGGGGAGTGAGGTTTATTGTTATATAATTGGGGTATACTTATAAAATTAGAGGAAAGTTGTAAGATTTGTATAAGGAACTCCCTTTAGTCAATTTCACAAATTGTTTACTTTTTGCCCTTTTACCATACAATAATTAAATATTATTCCTATTCTGTGATTCCTAAGAACAAGAATTTTCTTTTATAGTGCAAATATTGAATTTAGGAAATGCAACTTTGATATACTGCTGATTGGTAATTGGTAGTTTAAATTCTGTTTGTTGTTTCAACAGTGTCCATTGCATTAGTTGTTATACCATTTTATTCTCTAATCTGGAACATTCAGCATCTTTTTTCTATAATTTTTGACTCTATATTTTTTAAGTGTTCAGGGCATTTATTTGGGAAAAGCATGGCTTTTCAGCATTCCTTCTCTGTTTACTAGTTGGTATTCTGTTATAAAGAAGGACTTTCTGGGGCTGGAAAGATGGCTCAGCAGTTAACAGCACTGACTGCTCTTACAGAGGACCCAGCACCTACAATCATCGGACTAACTCCAGTTCTAGGGGGATCTGATGCTCTCTTCTGGCCTTTTTGGTCATTGCATGCATGTGGTACACTTTTATGAAGGCAAAACACTCATACACATAAAATAAAAATAAATAAAGGCCCCCCCCCGCCAAAAGATGTTCCCTTCTCCCCCATTTATATCAGTATGAACTCATGATTTTTCTAGTCAGTGGATTGTAATTTGTTTCACTCGTTATTTGATGTTTATATTATTCCTTTGAATATATCTCCATCATTCTTGGAACATTTCCTTACTTTCTAGTCCAACAAGATATTGTAGGTCTATAGTGTTGCTTTCCTGGCACCACACTTCTAGGAGTCCTGGTTTCTTTTTTTTTTTTTTGGGTAGAGACTTGGCTTTAAAAAGCAGGATTTGGGGGCCTGGAGGGATGGTTGAGCGGTTAAAAGCACTGACTGCTCTTGCAGAGGACCCAGGTTTGATTCCCAGCACCCATATGGCAGCTACAAGCCGTCCTTGACTCTGGTTCCAGGGGACTCCGACACCTTCTTCTGACCTCTGCGGCACTGCACGACATGGGTGCACTTGCATACCTGCAGGCACTACACTCATAACACATAAAATGAAAATAATAAAATATTAAAAAAAGAAAAGCAGGATATAGGCACTAGGTGTCCTCCTTGCTAAAGGTATGTTGGCTTTTCTAGGCTTAAATCAGAGAACAAGAGAAGGGAAAGGAAGGGGAGAAGGAAAAGGGGAGGAGAAGGAAGCAAAAAAGCGTATGTATACGTACATTTATATATGCGTAAGTATACGTATTTATCATGTGCGTGTATACTTATTCATATGTATATGTATATTACTCTATATCATTTTCAGAACATTAGAAACCATAAGTTCATTTTAATAGCTCCAATTCCAGTAAAATACTATAGAGTCCAGTATGGACTTACTTTTCCTATTTACCTACAATTAGCTTCCTAATTTTGAGGACCTAGTACTACAGATGCTGCTATCAGTGGTCCAGCAATGCTGTGAGGGATCCACACTTTAGGAAGAGGCAGAATCACCAAATGTATGAAATACTTGGCTTGGGTCCTCTTGGCACTCAGATTCAGAATATAAAGGCAGATTGCTTCCATCTCTGACCCATGAATAATAGTGTTATTTACTCCAAAGCCAGGATCACTCCTTTGTCAAGGTGCACTATTTCAAATCATAACTTATGTCACAGTGGGGTTTTGTTGACGTTGTTGTTGTTACTTTGCTTTTTTGATTTGTTTTGATGTTTTGAGAACAAAGTCTCACTATGTAGACCAGGCTGGCCTGGAACCTGTGGTCCTTGTCTGTGCCTCTGAAGTTCTGGTATTACAAGAGTGAAGTACCACCCTTGCCTGGCTACTTTACTATCTTTATTTCAAAGAGTTTAATATTTCACAAATACCTTTAGATCCATAATTATCGAATCTTCTCAGAGTACCTCACACACCATATCTTGCCCTTGTCATCTTTCAGACCTCTTCTCTTTTCCCTACCCATGTGTATTTGGTACTCAAACCCATTCTGAAGTCTTTACCTCCTGAGCGCCAATGATAGAGATAAGGGACCCTTTTGTACAGCAAGGGGGGCTGCTCCAGTTCCTTTGTTCTTGGTGAACTACAGCAGAGAAGATGGTGCAGGAAACCACCCAGGCAGAGCCAGGATTAGGTGTAAACAAATCCCACTGACTGACCATGGTTTTCTCATGGGTGGCACAGACCTTTGGTACTAGGCATGATTAAATGTAGCCATCTTCTGGAGCACACCTTAAATTCCATGCACCGTGCTACTCCAGACTATACCTTACCATTTCCCCTTTTTGTTTCTAGAGCTGGTACTCAAAGTGAGGATTCAGAACCCATCTCTTCGAGAAAATGACTTCATTGAAATTGAACTAGACCGACAGGAGCTCACTTACCAAGAACTGCTCAGAGTGAGTTGCTGTGAGCTGGGTGTTAATCCAGATCAAGTGGAAAAGATCAGAAAGTTACCCAATACTCTGTTAAGAAAGGTAAGATAAGTCTGCTAAGTATGAGTGGCTGCTTTTTGCATTTGGAACATATCTAACTTCTTCCTTGGCTATATGAGTCATAGCAGTATGAAAAGCAAATAGAAAAAGACTGAGGAGGGCTGAGGCAAAGCTTGTGCTTTTCATGTGTAAGGCCCTGGGTTCAATCCCCAGTACTCCCACCTCCCCCAACTTCTAAATATAGTCAGAGAACTCTTTCCCTTTGTCTGAGTCCACAGAGATCCTGACTTATTTTGTATGTTTGTTTATTTGTTTGCTTGTTTGTTTGTTTTTGGTCTTTTTGAGACAGGATCTTCCTGTAGCCCCAGCTGGCCTGGCCCTTGCTATGTAGACCACCAGGCTGGCCTTGATCTCACAGAGATCCACTTGCCTCTGCCTCCCGGGTGCTGAGACTAAAGGCCTGTGCCACCATGCCCTGCTTATGTTTTGTTTTTTAAGATAGGGTCTCTCCAGCAGGATATGTGCAGTGCTCGTGGAGGGAAAGGCCTACTTGCTTTCAGCTATAGGGTAAAAGAGTTTGAGTTTCCCAATATCCTAGATCTGGTCTTAGAAACTTTAATCCTGTCCTCCCATCTTGGACTGTCCTGGGGGCTCAAACAAAAAAAAAAAAAACAGGGTCTCCTTGTAGTTCCAACTGGCCTGGGACTTGCTATGTAGATCAGGCTGGCCTCCATCTCACAGAGATCCTCTGCCTCCTGGGTGCTGGGATTAAAGGTGTGTGCTACCATGCCTGGCTATTATTTATTTACTTATTTATTTTATGTGTGTGTTTTGCCTGCATGTAAATGCACCTGTGTTATGCAATGCCTGCAAAGGCCAGAAGAGGGCATTGGATTCCCTGGAACTAGGGTTACAAATGGTTGGGTAGCTACCATGCAGTTGCTGGGACCCAGACTTGTGTCCTCTGAAAGAGTAGCCAGTGCTTTTAACCACTGAACCATCTCTCCAGCCTTTCTTTTTTTTTTTTTTTTTTTTGGAGACAGGTTCTTGATATGTAGCCATGACTGGCCTCTCCTCAGTGTGTCCTGGGCTGGCCCTCCTCCCTCAGCCTGGGATTATAGGTGTGAGCTATCACTCTAGGCTATCCTGGCATTTTTGAAGGTTATAGGATACAGGTGTTAATGAGGATCTGTCTTCAGTTGTTTCTGCAATGACCTGTGGGCATTAGTGCACTATTAGGGTGTATTTTGCATTTAGCAAGATGAGACTGGACTTCAGTTACTTAAAAGCCCACCTGGATATCTCTATGGTTCTCTCACCAGCTCTGGATTCTCCAACATCAAGTTTCTGACTTCTTTGGGTCCCTGGGAAAACTGATGTCCGCTTGCCTGTCCCTTCAAGGCATGCTCTTCCTGCAGCACAGGCTGTTGGGCTTTCTTCATCGTGCCCAGGTCACACTGGGGACTGCTTACCTGCCTAAGGGATTTCATTTTCCTTCTGGATTGAAGTTGGGCTAAGACATTGGCATAAGTACAACCCACCACAGACATAAGCTGCTCCTCTTAATCTGTTTCTCTGGGATGGCAAGATGGTTCAGCAGGTGACCTTAGTTCAATCCTCAGGATCTTCCACATGGTGGAAGGAGAGAATTGATCCTCCAAGTTGTCCTCTGAACTCCACATGTGTCATGGCATGAGCACAGCCACATGTGTGTGCACACATACAAAATAAATAGATCTCACCAGGGGCTGGAGAGATGCTCAGTGGTTAAGAGCACTGGCTGCTGTTGCAGAGGACCCAGGTTCAATACTCATCACCTACATGGTGGCTAACAACTGTCTGTAACTCCAGTTCCAGGGGATCTGACCCCTCTTCTGACCTCCATGGGCATTGCATGACATGGATGCGCTTACATACATGTGGGCAATACAATCATACACATAAAACTAAAAATAATAAATAGGAGCTGGAGAGATGGCTCAGTGGTTAAGCACACTGACTGTTCTTGCAGAAGACCCAGGTTCGAATCCCAGCACCCACATGGCAGCTAACAACTGTCCGTAACTCCAGTTCCAGGGGATCTGACAGTCTTTTCTGTCCTCTGTGGGCATTGCATGACCCAGGTGCACTTATCTACATGCAGGCATGATATTCATACACATAAAATAAAAATAATAATAAACAAAATATTTTAAAAATAAGCTGCTTTCCTTCTAAGGAATTATTTCTGGAAACGTCATATTTTTCATCCATAAGAATTTTGAAAAAAAAAGGATTTTTTTCCCATATCCAAATTTACCAGCACCTCACCATTATTCAGTTGTGAATTTGGCCCAAGCTTCCTGATAGTCAATCCAAAGAGTGAAACTTGCTACTTTCAAAGAACATTATAGCTCTCAAGACAGGAAAACAG